GTGTGTGTATGCACGTGTGCGTGTGTGTATGGACGTGTGCGTGTATGTACGTGTGCATGTACGTGTGTATGTACGTGTGTATGTACGTGTGTATGTACGTATGTATGTACGTGTGTATGTACGTGTGCATGTGGGCGTGTGTGTACGTTAGCATGCCGGCGGGACAAGGGGGAGGGCGGGCGGCCGGGCGTACCCTGCTCAGACGGTGCGCCGCCTCGGCCAGCAGCAGCAGCGTGTGGTAGGCCTCCTGCTCGTCGGGGTCCGGCGGCGACAGCAGCGGGGCCGGCCGGGCCCAGCCGGCCTGCGGGTTGGCCAGCGTGCGCAGTGCCGCGGCCAGGTGCGCCTCGATCGGCGGCGTGCGCCGGCCGGCCGGGGGGTCTGGGCGTCCGGGCGCACCGGGCGCGGGCGCCATGGCCGCAGCGTCCATCGGCGTAAGTACACGACGGCAGGCGCCGGGGGCGAGCGGTCGGGCATTGACGTACCTGGCGGGCTGACCGGGTCGCCGGCGGCCAGGACCGCGGCCCAGATGACCGCGGCCCGGGACACCGGCGCGGCCACATCGGCCGGGGCCGGCGGGGCGTCGGCATCGGCATCGGCATCGGCATCGGCGGCGGCGGCGGCGGCACCGGCGGCGGTCGACCCCGGGCCCGGGTCCAGGTCCAGCCCGGACCCGGTGGGGGCCTCGAGGGCCGCGGCGGCCAGCGGCGGCGGGGCGGTGCCGGCGCGGCCCAGCAGCCGGGCCGCCTCCAGCGGCGCCGGCGTCGGCCCGGCCCCCGGCCCCGGGCCCTCCAGCCACCGGACGAGGCTGAACCAGGCCGGGCTGACGGCGGCCGCGTCGCGCAGCACCCCCCGCAGGGCCCCCTCGCGCAGGTCCTTCGACAGGGCCACCCGGCGCCAGCACTCCGCGTCCTGCGGGTCGACCGGGTGGCTGGCCGGCGTCCGGGCGCGCTCCGCGGTCAGTGCGCCATCCATGTGCATCTGTGTGTGTGTGTGTGTGTGTGTGTGCGTGTGTGTGCGTGTGTGTGTGTGTGTGCGGCGACCCAGGCCCGCGTGTTGCCCCCCCTGCCCCCCTGCTCCCTCCCGGCGCGCGCCGGGCCGCCAAGACGCACAAGACGCTGGGATCCTGCGGGTCGACCGTGAAGCACCGGAGGCCCACCCCCCGGGCCAGGGACCCGCGCGGCCGGCCCACAAAGCACACCTCCACGCAGATGTCCCGCCGGCGGAGCAGGTCGAAGGTGTACAGCCGGGCCAGCACCGGGGCCGCGTGGCCGGCCCACGCCGGGAGGTTGCAGTCGGCCGGCGAGTCGGGCCGCTGGCCGGGCACGTCGGCCAGCTGCAGGCCGGCCCCGCAGCAGCGCGAGTCGCACCGGGGCCCCGGGGCCCCGGGGCCCAGCAGCCCCGGCCCCCCGGCCGGGCCCATGCCCAGCTGCAGCTCCCGGCGCACGCGGGCCTCCTCGGCGGTCTCCGGCGGCCGGGGCTCCGGGTCCGGGTCCTCGGCCGGGGCCGGCATGGGCCGGCGGTCGGCCGGGTCGCGGCCGCCGCCGCCGCCGCCGCCGCCGCCGCCGAGCCCGGCCCTCGGCCCGCGCCCGGCCCCGGCCCCCGACCACACCCGGTCCAGCAGGGCCCCGAGGCCCGGGCGCGACCGGTCACCGCCGCCGCCGCCGCCGTCGCCGTTGCCGCCGGCGAGGCCGCCGCGCGGCAGGCGCCCGGCCGACGGGCTGGGCGACGGCCCGAGCGAGGAGGCCGTCGACCCGGGGCCCGGCTCCGGGCCCCGGGCGAACGGGTGCTCCCGGAGCAGCCCCATGGCGAAGGCCGCGAAGGAGGCCGGGTCGCGCGGCGACCCGGGCCCGGCCAGCGCGTGCAGCACCTCCACCACGCCGCCGCCCTCCGGGCCGGAGCTGTGCTCCCACTCGCCAGGGTCGGCCCAGTTCCAGTCGTCCGGCCACCGGTCCGGCGTGGGCCCGGGGTCGGGCTCGGCCGGCCCGGCGTCCGGCCCCTCGCCGGCCCCCGGCAGCTCGGTCGACTGCGACCCCGACCGGGAGAGGTCCCCCCGGAGGTATTGCGACAGCGAGGTGGGCAGGGCCAGGAAGGAGCTGGCCCAGGTGCCCGGGGCGCCGGGCCCGGGGCCCGGGGCCGGGCTGGCCGGGCGCTCGCGCGTCAGCGGGTGGCCCCCGGCCCCGGGCCCCGGGCCCTCGGCCGGCACCACCATGTGCATGTACGAGCTGGCGCCCCGGCGCGGGCCGGCTGCCGGGCCTCCCCCGGGCCCCGGGGCCCGGAACTTCCCCGACTCCCGCTGGACAAAGGCCCGGCCGATGGCATCGTCCCGGGCGTAGGCCACCGTCACCAGGTCCACCGGGCCCAGGGGCGTGGCGGCCGAGCCGTCTGCACCGCACCGCCGCCGTCGCCGCCGACCCGGCATGCCGCGTGTTAGTTTCCCGCCCGTGTGGCGCGGCGAGGGCCCCCGAGCGCGATGTCACCTCCCCCTCCTCCCCCCGCTTGGGCGTGAGCAGTCTTCCTTTTTTTTCCCGCCCTCACACGCACAGCAATCATCATGTCGCCGGAGGCAGGCCACATTGGGCTTGAGGGCCACCGAGGCGCTGGGGGCCGCGCCGTGCTTGTCCCCGGGCCCGGGGCCGGCGCGCCATGCGCAGCGGCACGGCACCGACCGGGCCGGGTCGCCGCAGCGGAAGCGCCCGGCCGGGTCGCCGGCCGTCGGCCGGTCACGCAGCCGGCACTCGCACCACGGCCCTCGCCGGGCCTGGTAGGAAAGGAAGTCGCCCATGCTCGGGCGGCCGGGAAAGGGGGCGGAGACGCCGGACTCGGCCGGGAATCGTCAGGCGGGCCCCTTGACCGGCTCGGCACGAGGTCAGGGGCCGGGTGTGTGTGTGTGGGGGGGGGGGGGGGGGGACGCGCCGCCGCGGACAGGGCCTCGGGGCACCGGCGAGCGCGGGCTAGAGCCGAGGGGCGCGAGGGGCCACGCGACGGCGTGCCTGTCCTCGTGTGTGTGTGCGTGTGTGTATGCGCGGGTGCGCCGGTAAGACGGGCGCAGGGCGGGAGCGGCCCAGGCGGGCGGCAGGCAGGAGGGCGGAAGGGCAAGCCGCGAAGATCTGGCAGGAGGCGAATGTGGGTGAGGCGGGCCCCCGGGCGCCGGCCTAGCCCTCAACCGCCGCACACTTAAACCTTTAACTCGGCCTCAGGTCCGCCAGTTATGGTCCAGCCGCGCGTCACGTGCGCGCGTCACGGGCATGCGGCGGCAGTTGGGCTCCGGGCGTTTGTTTTCCCCCGGGCGCCGGGCGCCGGGCGCTGGGGGGGATCTGTCACCGCGGCCGTGCCGACGAGGGGCCGGGCGCGTCCTTCGTCCGGTGCTGCCTGGCTCTTTTGCCGAAAAGCCGGGGCCGCGCCGGGACCCCAGCGGCCCGACCGGGCGCCGGGATCGCGTCAAGCCTCCCTCCTGCTCCCACGCCCTGCTTCCTCCCCCTCGCGCGCCCTGCCCTCCTGTCTGCGCTCGCCGCCTCCCCGCCCCTGCCGACGGTTTGT